CTTTGAGTTCAGTTAAACAGCCACCGTGCACCCACTGTTTTGCAGGCACTGGGGCCAGAAATCTAGTGGACCTGGCATGGTGGGGAGACAGGCTCTTTCCTCATCCATGAATTGGGGGTGATCATATCTGAGTACCAGCCCTGAGGTTAGAGGTGATAGTTGGACATGGAAGCAGGAATCACCACACAGTGCCTGATGGGTAATAGGAGCAGGACAGAGATCAAGGTTTTGCCCTTGAACGTCCCTGTAGAAATGGTGGTTCTGTCATTCTGGAAGGTGACGCGGTCCAGATGCCTGCAGGAGAGATACTGTTCTCACTGCGAAAGGATCTCTGAAGTCTGGGTATGAGAACGTCTGGCCTGTGGAGTCCAGGGGGAGTTTAGGTCACACAGGTCCTTCAGGCCACATAGGGGGTTTACAGAATGGCCCCATGGCAACCAGGTGTCCCTCCACAGTCTACCTCTGCCACCCCCCACCCCCCCGCTCTTCTCCCTTAACAAGTCAGTATTGCTGAGGTTTCTTGGACTCCTACCTGTGGTCAAGAAGTCTTCAGAAAGCACCCCATTCTGTTGTTTCTCTGACTCTGGCAGGGAATAAAGGCACTAAGTTAATTTGGGACATTGTTGCCCCAAGTGCGGTGACTTCCACGGGCCAGCCATCGTTAGCCTAGACCCACCGGCACATCCTAAGACAATACAGGGTTGGGGTGCAGCGGCAGAAACCTGTCATCCAGCTTTGTTCTTATGAGAACTGCCAGAAAATGTTGACCCAGAGAGAGACGTTTTCCACGTTTCATGATAAGTGAGGTCTACCGGGCCAGTGGTGTCGTGGGCCCACCCCCGGGAGGGTGGAGTGTGGATTGAAGTATTTATATACCTTCCTTGTAATAAGATTTATCATGTGAGTCAGCATGAAGTGGTCTGCACCACGTCGAAGTGTGTGTGCTTAATCTATAAAATATTTAGAAATATTTGCCTAGTAGAATTGTAAGGCTTACCACAGGCTTACGAGAAAACTGAAATCTTAGTGTTTATCTAAGATAAACATTTAGCAAATATTCAGCAAATATTTGGCTTGGGCCTTCTCTGAGGCAGGCAGTTGTAACTGGGGATCGCCTTGGATTTGGAATGGTATTTGCTTCCTTTATTTATTTAATTTTTTTGCCACACTGCCAACCAGGAGATAGGAACTTAAAGGTTCGAGATTCTCCTGAGAGCGGTTAGCAGCGCTTTGCACAGAGCCAGGCAGGCAGGATCCTGGGCTGGGTTTCCTCCCGCAGCCTCTGAGGAGTGTCCCGTGACTGTCTGCGGTCGCCCCTCTTGCCCCGAGGCACTGCCCCGCCGGCCCCGTGTCCTGCGCTCCCAGAGAAAACACGCACACACGGCACTGGAAACCACACTTACGCACCGAGGGACATGGCTGTAACGAAAACATCGTTTTAATGTCCGCACGCTGTAGACGCCGGTAAAGAGCAGGTTTGCAGGGTTCTAAAAAATAACGCGCAGAGGAAGGGAGGTGCCGTCGGCTTCATCGGGAATGTGTTTCTGTCAGAATCGACAAGGCGACCGGCTTCCCGAGTGCGCGCCTGGGAGGCAGTGGACCCCGGGGGTCAGGGTCACCCCTGCTGGTTCTGGGGTCTGAAGATCCTCCTTCCTTGCCTGACAGACCTCGGAAAGGTTATAGTCTCTTGGTGCCTCGGCTTCCTCATCAAGCACTTGGGGATGCCCCTTGCACCACCAGGGAGCCCCCCTTCTTCTCCTTCTTGACCTCCACGCCGACCTCATGGGGCAGCCCCAAGAATGAACCGAGATGTTAAGCTGTTCAGTGCTCTGAGTGGAGCCTGGCGTGGCCCAGACTATTTCTGGCCTCGCTTCAGAGTCAGCGTCACCAACCTCAGCTCTTCTGCTGCGGTGAAGTCACCATGACTCCAGCCTGCCCTCCCCCTCAGCGAACTTCATCCCTTTAATCTTCTCTCAAACCCCAACATGCCCCTTGGACCCTGGTCTCAGCTGCTGACCTTGCTTCCTGTTCCATCCAGAAAACAGAAGCAACCAGAAGACCCCAGCCCACTCTCCCTTCCCTGGGTTCTCTGTCTTCTCCTGTTTCTGGGGGTGACTCACCTGGGGTCCCAGCAGGGGCTGCCCCCACTGGGTGTGGGGCCCCATCGCCTTTTGATGTTACTTTCCCTCCCCTTAACACACAGGCACACATACGAGCTGGCCCTTCTGGTCTTCTCATGGCTAACTCCTCACTTCCCTCCAGGCTCTGCTGGGCCCTCGCTCTGAGCTCAGGTAAGGTCAGACACCTGGTGCCTTGCCTGTCTCAGCGCCTACTCTCTTCGCCCCATCATTCCATGCACAGCGCCCCCCCGCCCCCTTCCAGAGCACTTACCACTTTCTAAAACTGCCCCATCCCATTGCTGTGGGCTCCAGAAGATAGGAAAGCCCAGCCCTGCTGCATCCTGCCCAGAGTGTGTGCTTCACTGAGTACTCCTGGTGATGGCTGTTAGCCACTGAGGCTGATTTGGACCTTTTACCACAAGGCTAATGCTTCACAGGTCATCTGCACGCAGCTGCCTCCCCACTTCACACCCCAAGTCAGCCTGTCCCCTCCAGCTGGCTTCTGCTGATCCATAACTGAGTGCTGACAGCACCCTTCCCCAATCAGAAACCTGAGCCTCTCAAGTCTTCTACACGCACCCAGCAGCTCACCTTCTCTGAATGGGCTCCTGCCCTCTTGCACCCCTCACCTTCCCTCTCCCTGTCCACAGCCACCTCTTCCTCCTTAACCTCTGGCCTCCAACCTACCCTCCCCACTGCTGCCAAAGTCACTTTTCTAACACGCAACTCTGATGCACCTACTCCAGTTTAAACTATACATTTCTCCAATGCCCTCTTACAGGATGTCACCCCCGTGCCAACATCTGGTCCCTGCCTCCCCCTGCCAGCTTCACCCTTGCCACCTGGAGACCCTTCCAGGGCTCAGACCACACCAAGTGACCTAGAGTCTTGGCATGACATGGGCTGCTGTGTGGGCTTTGGAATCACAGCCCATCTGCCTGGAATGATGCTCCCTGCTCCTCAGGTAGACTGACCACTGGCCTTCTAGGGAGCTTCTGGGCTGGCACTATCTTGGGGTGCCTGGGGCTCATCTACAATTCCTATCCTCTCATGCACAAATCTCATATCACTACCCTGGCAAGTTTACTGTCTGGCTCCCTACCAGGTCTGGCTCTGTCGTCTTTGTCCCCCCACGTCTGTGGCAGAACCTGGGATCCAGATCCCAGGGGCGGAGCAGCTTGAAGGAAGGGGTGGGGCCTGCTTTGTGTCTGTAGACAACGTTTGCCCAGGAGAGGTTGGAAATCCCTAAGCCACACCCACCACTCATGAATATGGGTTTCCCAAGTAGGGGGCAAGGTTGGAGGGGGGTGGCCAGTCAATTACTAGGAAGAGAAGGAAGCCCGAGGCTTTGGATTTTGTGGAGTTTGATAAGCAAACAGACCTAAGAGCAAGAGAAAATTAGCTATGAAATTGAAGGGACATTTGCCAACTTCCGTTTGATCTAATGGGAAAAAGGGCATTAGCTGATGTTAGCAGTTTGCAAGGTGGGGAAAGATGGGGCTCACATGATCAGGTGTTGGGAGCCAGTTTAGCCCACTTCTCACTGGCACAGGAGGCTCCCCACTTCCCCTTGGCAGGGCGCTCACCCTAAGGTTCCTGCTTTCACAACTGCTCCCAGGACCACAGTCTCCGCCTTAATGACCAGGACCTCTGTTGGCCCCGGAGTCCTTGGTTACTCTCTCCAACCTCCCCCAGTGCTAGCCAGAGCCTCACTTGGTCTGGCCCATGATTTCCCCACAGGACTGTTGGGGCTAGGGCCAGCAGAGAAGATGGAAGACAGGAACGGGCTTCCAAGGGCCAAACTTGTGATTAAGAAATAAGATGGTCTCTTAGGAAAAGTTAAAAGTAAGGGGGTCTGAGCCCAGCTGCAGTTGTCCTGGAGCGAGAGCAAACTGCAAGCGACAGGAAAAAGGATGGGAATGAGCAAATGCCGCAGAAGTTCTTGGAAAAGAGCCGCCACTGACAACGTCCTTAAGCTTGCAGGTCTTTAAAAAATTTATTACAAACCCATCAAGCGTTTGCGCGCGACAGAGGGGCTGCCTCAGGGAGGGCGGGTGGTTCTGTGGTCAAGTTTAGGTGGTGCACGCCTCCCTGAGTGTCGGTCCCCGGGCTGCGGACTCGGGGCAGAAGACACCTCCTCGGTTACCGTAGGGCGGTGCCCGCCGCACAGCAGGCGTCCAGTGTGCAGGGTCTGGTCTCCAAATCAGTTACCTGGCTCCGTGGGCAAATCACCTAATTTGTTAAAAAAAAATAAACAACAAACAGAACCGAGGGGTTAACGCCACTGCGCGCGCGGCTCTTTCCAGCAGGAACCGGGTCGCACCCCGACCCGGCAGGCGGAGCACCCTGTGCCCAGGAGCCGCCGACAACCCGGGGCGACCCGCGCGCCTCCGGGCGGGCCCCTCCCCCGGGCCGCGCCCACCCTCCCGCGCCGCGGGGGACCCCAGCCGGCCCCCGCCCCCGGAGAGGGGTGTGACCCGCCCTGGCGCTGGGGGGCCGGGGACTGCGGGCCATGAAGGTCACGACCCTGGAGCGGCGTCTCCCGGCGGTCGAGCGTGCGTGTGGGGGGGGGTGCGGCGCCTCCTCGCGGGGGGAGTCGGGGCGGCGGGGGCGGGACGGGGAGCCGCCCCACGCGGGGCCCAGCAGCGGGCGCGGCCCCTTTAAGACGCCGCCCCCCCGCGGCGCCGCGCACGTGACGCGGGTCTTGTGACCGGCGGGGGGAGGCGCGCAGGGAAGCCGGGCGCGCCCGCCTCCAGAGGCGCCGACCCCGCCGCCGCCGCCGCGAGAGCGGGTCCCGCAGCCGCGCGTCCGGCGTCGGCCGAGGGGAGCGGGAGCGCGAGCGGGAGCCGGGCCGGGCCGGGCGCGGTGGCGCCGCCCGCCATGGACCACAAGCCGCTGCTGCAGGAGCGGCCGCCCGCCTACAGCCTGGAGGCCGGCCAGGGCGACTTCGCGTGCGGCCCGCACGGCTACGGCGCCATCCCCTCCGCGCCGCCCCCGCCGCCCTACCCCTACCTGGTCGCAGGTGGGCCGCGGCCCGGCGCGGGGGGCGGGCGGGGGCGGGGGCCGGAGGGGGCGGGCGGGGGCTTGGGGAGCCGGGTTTGGGGTGCGGGGCTCCCGAGCCGCGGCGGGGGGTGGAGCGGGCGGGGCGCCGCGCGGGTGGCCCAGGGAACAAACTTTGGGTCAAGTCCCGTGGCGACCTTTAACCCCAAAACTAACTTCTTCGGGCTCAGTGGCCGCGGGGGGCCGGGGGCGCGGGCCGGGCCCTCGCGAGGGCGCTGCCGCGGTGCAGACCTGGCGCGGGGAGTGCGGGCCGGGGGGCGCGGCGCCCCGGGGCGAGGGTTTGGGGGAGTCTTCCGCCCCCGGAACGTGCTGACCGACTCTGGCGTCTGGGCGATGCCCCAGGACCTCAGCCTGCCCGGGGGCGATCTCCAGCCCCAGGCCCGGCAGTCCTAGGAACAGCCAAGTTCCTGTTTCAAATCAGCTTTATGCGGAGGTGCTGTTGCAGAGTAGCACCCAGGTGAAGCCCACCCTGGGCACTTAGCGAGGGCAGCTGTGGTCTTGACTGCAGGAGGATGAGTGTTGAGTAAGGGGTGGGGGGCCGGTGAGAAGGGCAGAAGCGCTCACCTTCCCCCATTACCTCCTCTGCCCCCTGCTGATATGCCTTCCTGCCCACAGGGATACCCACCCATCACCCCAGGGTCTACAGCATCCACAGTCAACATGTCACCCGCTACCCTGCCAATTCCATCGTTGTGGTCGGAGGCTGCCCAGTCTGCAGGTATGTCACATGCCTGTCTAAGCACATTCATGCCCACAGCCTCATAAAGGAGCCTTGTGGGGGCAGCAGGACAAGCTGTAACCTGTCCAGTCGGTTCAGGCGTCCTGGTTCTGAGTGTTTCATGGGGTAAAGCGGGGTGGGGAGTTGAGTGCTTTGGGGGTCTTGATCCCTAGTGGGTGGACTGCAGAAATTTAAAGGGTCAGACTGACAGTCTCTTGGGTCTGTAGGTTTGCTCTGCATTTGCTTCTCTAGGGTGGGTAAGGTTTTGTTTTGCCAGGAAGTGCCCAGGCAGGAGCACCCTGGGGCTGGAGGTGCCCAAGGCCTGGTAGCACAGGCACGAGAGCTGCAGACCAGTAGCTGGATAAGGCGTGCCATGGCCCTTTGCTGCAGGAGTCATTTTTCATACTGTCAATCTGGAGTCGCCAGAACTTTCTGATGACTTTTTATAGCACCCAAGACCATTAGCTAGACACATACTCTGTGAGCATCCGAGGATTCGGATTCAGCGGAGATTTGGCCCCTGTCCTTAACAAAGGCCAGCCTTAGTCTGGAGGGAGGAAGTAGAAGTCTCTGAGGTGGAATTGAGAAATTTTGACTGAATTTCAAAATTGTATCTGGGCAGTCTAGAGTGGAGTCCAACCAATGCCTAATGATTTCAGAATGTGGGCGATGAGGGCTCAGAAGAGGAAGAGCATGACAGAAATGGGGGCAAGAGACTGCTTGCCCTGTGTCCAAGAAAGAGCCAACCTTGTGTCCAAGAAAGGGGGCAGTGGGCAGGAAGCCCCTTTGCAAACCCAAAGTGGGGTGTCTGACTTGGCTGGTGAAACTGACCTTTGGAGAATAAGGGTAGGGGTGGGGTGTGATTGTTCTGAATGCTGCTCTTTCCAGGTGGTGTTGGGGTCTGACGGCCTGTGGTGGGCTTGGACAGGAGGGGCTGTGGACTGGAAGGCCTGCTGTCTGCTGCAGGAAGGGCAGGCGCCAAGGCTTGGGCTCTGTGGGCCCAGATCCTCTGGACCTCCTGCATTGGAGAGGCAGAGGTTGCGACTGGTGTTTCTCTTTGCTTGGAGGCGGTTCCTGTGCCCAGACCCCTGCTGTGAGCACACAGGATGGCCCCCACTCAGACAGGTGGGGCACCAGGGTTTTCCAGGGCCTAGTTTTTTTGGTGGGGAGGGGTGTATTTGAGTGGTCTCCCGAATTTTAAGAGGGGTGTCTGGCTGGCAGAGCTGAGGATAGAGAGACCCCTGCCACAGAGGGGCACCCCACCATGTCTGCCTTGTCCCAGCAGTGCCCGCCTGCCCGAGAACCTGGGGCCTGCTTCCCCGTCTGGGAACTAGGGTGTCTGGTAGGATTACATGTGAGACCCTTGTCACCCAAGTCCTGAGCTTAAAGAAGGGGGACTGCCAGTGTGGCCCCTGTGGCCGGGCGGCCAAGATAGCGCAGGACTGTGGCACTTTCACTGCTGCTGCCAGGCGGGGAGCACTTGTCCGTGTCCTCCCTCCTCCTGTGGTGGGAGACCTGTGGATTTGGCCCCCAGGGGCCTCCAGTCCTGCAGAACATCAAGGTCAGGCTGCGCTCTCTGCTTTTCTGGGCGAGTCATAGGCGCGGGCCACCTGGAGGTGCTGGGGTGGGCCCCTGCATTGGGCACAGACTTCCCTTTTTTTGGTTGGGATCCCGGCCTCCTGGGCAGTGGAAGGCAGGCAGTGAGGAAGAGTTGCGTGGGAACAGACACTCGGACTCCCTTCGCAGCATGTCCTCCTGGGGTGAGGAGCACGCCCCGGTAGTGAGGGGCCACTGGCACTTGGGTTCTTCACTGTGCTTGCCCTTGCCCTGTGCCCACGTGCCTGCTGAGCCCTTTGCCTGTGGGCAGTACGGGCGCGGGGTCCTCTGGGGAGCAGGAAGGAGGGGGCAGAGGGGGTGCTTTGGGGGGTAGGTGTGCTGTCCCTAGACTGACTCCTCTCTGGGGAGATGGGAGAGGCCTCCCTCGGGCTCTGGCCGCGTGGCACTGACCATCTGGGTTTTCACATGACCAGGCTTCCCGCTCCCCGCCCAGCCTGCCCCGCTCTGTCCTCTGCCCTTCCTGATAGCTTGGCAGGAATCTGCCCGAGTCACAGGTCTATGGGTCCCTCCTGGTGTGGCCTGGCCCAGAGGCCTCAGTCCCTTGTCACTTTGCCGTCTGTCAGAGCTTCCCTTGAGCGGCCCGATGGCATCTTCTATTGTCGGCCGCTGCGCAGAAGCGTGTGCAGCAGATCACAGGTGTGCTGCTCATTCGCCCTTGCCCTGCCCAGGTCATGGAGGCCTCTCCAGCCCCTGGCTCTCTAAGGCTGCCCCTGCCTGAAGGAGGCTGTCCCTAGATGTGGGGCTGGAGCTGGGCCTGGCTGGTTCACCCTGGGCTGTGGAGCAGCCAGTTTTGAGGTTTATGTGCAGGTACGTGTGGAAAGCAGCAGGTGCGGGACCTGGCCTGCGCTGGCTGGGTGTCATAGAGTATTGAGTTTTGTGATAACTAGAGAGGTTGGAAGAAATCCAGGGACGCGCAGGGTCTTAGAAGGCAAGATTGAGGCTCATGGGATGGCCATCAAGGTCAGGTGCTGCCCAGAGGTCAGAGAGTAAGTCCAGGATAGGGCGTGGGTGGTTACTGAATAGTGCTGGGGACTCTGGGAGAACCCTGAGGCCAGAGGCAGACATCGAGTCGGACACAGGGCCCAGGCGCAGGATGGAATGTGTGGAGGCTCTGGAGAGGCGGGGCCGTGGAGGGGCAGCTCTCTGTTGGTGGGGTACCTGATCCTAGGCCTTGAGGCCAGGACCCCAGCCTGCCCTGGGGAGTTGGCTATTCTGGAAACAGGTTGACAGGATGGATCCTGCCCATGTCTGCCGCTCTGTGGGCTCTGTCTGGAGGGGCAGCCGACTGGTGAGCTGGTCCTCGTGCCCTGGGCTGCACTGGACAGGATGTGCAAGCCGTGGGGACCCGAGGCTGGCTGTCACCTGCTGACCCTCCAGGGGGAGCTGGAACCCTCCAGTCTGGCTGAGCCTGCGTGGTTCACAACGAGTCTGGCTGACCTGGCCACCTCGTGGGCCTCCCTGAGTCCGACCTAAGGCTCAGTCCCCACTGCAGGCATTTTTGTCCCTGGGCCTCTGCAGGGGAGGGGCTGACTCCAGGCCCCTGCCCTGGAGGCCTGAGTGACCAGGCTTGTCAGAACTACCCTGGAGTGGTTAGTGGCCCGAGAACCGCCCTGACAGGGCTGCTCTGCCGCTACGAGAGCCTGTTTGGAGTGGGGACTCTGGGACTCACTGGTGGAAGAGGTGCCTCTGAGGGTGACCTGGTCTCTGGAGGGGGCTAGTTGGTGCTTTGGGGCCCCAGGCTGCTCCCCTTCTCCCGGGAGGCATGTTCTTCCAGGGAGGGCTAGCCGGTTTAGGCAGGATGCCGTTTCCAGGCCTCCCGCTCGGGGGAAATGAATTATCTGTGAGCTGGGAGGGCGGTTGGGGCAGGGGCGCTGCCGCGGAGGTGAGGTCTGGTGTTCCAGCCGGGAGGTCCTGCTCTGGCTCCACTTCCTGTAAGGGGCTCAGATGGCACCTGGGAGGCCTCGCTGGGAGGAACAGGGGAGGCGGTGGGGACAAGACTCGTCCTGGCCTGCCTTCCTCTGTGAGGCGGGCGCCCCCACCGGCCCGGCCCCAGGCAGATGTCATCTGTCAGGACTGGCGTGGCCGCCGCTTCTCTGTAAAGTTGGCTCAGCATTAGTCAGTTCTCTCATTTCTCCAGCTCCCATGTCCCTCTTGGACCCTTCCCCTCACGTGACCTGTTGCCTTTTTAGCATGGGGACGGGCCTTCCAGCCACAGCTGGGACTTCAGTTTCGAATCTTTGCCGGTTGATGGAATTGAAACTTGTCCTGAAATGATTGGGCTTCCTGGGGGCATGCGCGGCCCTTGGGTTGACCTGGCCAGAAGGAGGCAGCTCTTGCCCTGGGGCGGGGGTCTCCCCTCTGGGGGGCTCGCAGGGGGGCCTGCCTTCCAGCCTGTGGGCTGCTGCCTCAGAGACCAGGGGCCAGATGTTTTTCTCAGTTCAGATTATTTTAGATTTAAGAAAACTGTAAATTATGCCAACACCCTTCTAAGGGCTGGGGCCATCCCCACGGTCAGACACTAATATTTCTGCAGTAGAAAACGAGCACTCGCCGTAAACGGATAAATTAAGACTATAAATGGTCACATGTCAGTTCAAGTCCTGTGTGGCTGCCAGGTGAGTTTGCTACATGCTTCTAAAGAGGTTCTGCTTTCAGAGATCTTTGTCATTTGGAATTGTGGGTAAGAAGGGGCGGCTCTTGGGGTGGTGGTGTGAACACCTGCTTGGAGCCTCCTGCCGCCTCAGCTGGAGTCCTCCTTGGAAGGTGAGCTGGGTCTGGGCACAGACTCCTTGGCAGGGCCTGAACTTGATTTAGCTCCCTCTGTGCCTGAGGAGAACCGTCCTCACTCTGCCCAGGGACATGGTGGCTTGGCAGGTCCCTGCTGGGGGAGTGAGGATCTTCAAGCCCCTCCTCTTGACTGAAGGAATCAGACTCAGGTCCTAGCTGCCTGCTGTGCTGTGGCTGGATGAGTGACGGGCCGGTGGGGGAGGAAGGGGGGGGCGTCCTCCAACCTGGGACCTGGGGTAACTGGTCATCCCGTTGTGTCCATCGTTCTGCCTAACTTGAAGGAACTCACTCCCGAGGCTGGGAACATGAGGTGCTGCTCTTGTGGCAGGGAGGCCTGGGATGAGCGACCAGCCTTCCTGGGCCACCTCCAGCTTTAGACAGTGTAGACCAGGGCCTTGAGGTCTGGGCAGAGAATGAGGGGTAGGTGGAACTGGAACTGCAGCCCCATAAGGCTTGGTCCCAGGATGACTGGCAGACGGATTGGTTCATGTGGACATGCACTTGGGGCTGGGGGGAGACCCTGCCTTCTGCACTGCTTGGGGGACTGTACCACCCCAGAAGTCTTCTCCAGCCAGGGTGCTTGTCCCCCTCCATACCCCACTCAGGGCCCTGAGGTCAGTAGTGCAGGACCCACCCTGACCCAGCCCCCCCACCTCCCCCAAGGTTTTGGGAGCCTTTGAGCAGACACACTGGGTTCTAGGCGTCTCTGCACCTGCTGGTGCGGGTGGCCAGGCGTGAAGCCCTCTGCTTTCTCATTGGACAGTCTGACTGGAATGTGCAAAGGTGATTGTTGGGATTCCAACTGTAGGGAGACCTGGTTAGGGATGCCAGGCAGCAGCAGGAAATGCAGTCAGGATGGTGTGCGGCTGCCTGCCCCCTCCAGCCGCTCTGCAGGTGACCTAATTAGTGTCGGTTGTTGTAGGAGCTGTTGGTCATGACCGTGGACATAAGTGGGGTATCAGGTCCATCTCTGCAAGGGGACGAAGCTAGTGGCTCAGGGCCTTCCTGAAGCCCTCCACCCCCTACTTGTGCAGCGTGGCCTCACGTGCCTTCTCAGCCAGCCCTCACCTGCCTGCCACCTGTGTCCTTGAAGCTGCAGCGGGAGTGGTGTGGGCTTGGCACACGGTGACACCAGAAGACATGCATGCCTTTCCCAGAATGGACCAGAGCAGCCCCTCTTCCCTGTAGCTTTTCGGGGAGACTAGTGTTTCAGGATGAGCACCCTGGAAAATGTTCTACAGTGTGCTGTCCCTTGTAGGTGTGTTGTAGGCAACTCCCCTGGGGCAGGTGGGCATGAGTGTGGCTATGTCTTTAAGCAGTTGGAACCTAGACTTCCCCCTCCAACAGCTGGCTTTCTCTCTCAGCCCCTGGTGGAACGGGCCCTGCTGTGGTCCCGCGCCTGGATGTGGGCAGAGCCATCCTCTTGCATCTCTGCCCTGGTGTCAGAGCGGCCTGGGGCAGCGGTGCTCACGGGGCTGTCTGAGAAGGGCGGCAGCAGCAGCTCTGGCGCTGGGAATAGAGGAGCCGTTTTATACCCTCAAGTCTTGAGGCGTGTTTGACTTTTTTGTTTATTAAGCTGTGACTTTACTCCGTCCACATAGGCAGCAACACGAGGAGCAGTTGCTTCCAGAAAGTTATGGGTAGAAAAGATCCTTAGGGTTTGAAGAGGGGTTGGAGGAAGTGGCTTTAGAAAGACTGCGATGTTGGGGTGAAAATGTCAGGGGAGTGGAAAGGGATCCTTGGAGGCCAGTGAGAAGGGCTCCCCCTTCAGCAGTGCAAAGGTAAGCTCTGGAGAACTCTGGCTGCCTTCCTGGGAGGCGCTGCTCCCTGCCCTCTAAGGCCCTGTGGGTGTGCACCTGCGCCCTTGAAGCCAGCAGACCCTCCTGGGTGCTCAGCAGTGTGATCGGCAGCCTTAGTTCTGGTGAAGCGCCAGAAGGTCGGGTCTGCGTCCCTGGAGCCTCCACCACAGACCCTCACAGTGTGGGGGGTCCAAGTCTACCCCCAACCCCCATCTTCCCTGGCCCCTGAGTCTGTGTGGTGGAGTGACACGTCTCTCAGTCGGGGTGAGCTGGCTGTCTGGGTTCTCATTTCAGTTTCAGGTCCACGTACAGAACTTATCAGAGGTAGCTTAAAGAGCAGGGATTGAGATGAGCACCCCACCCACCTTTGGGTCCTTGGAGAGTAACCCTCGCACCCGACAGCCTCAGGTCCCTGGACCCAAACTCCCTGGCTGATGATTTGGGTCGTGTCCCCGAGGGTCTGCCTTCAGGGTGCATGATGTGCGCTACCTGCACACCCCCCCCTTCTTTTTGGAAGAGGCGCTCTGAGGAAAAAGTTCTGAAAGCCTTGCGTCAGGTTTCTAGACAGTGTGTGAACATGTTTCATTTGTCTTTCTCTAAAACCTGCCGCCCACTCCCACCCACCCAGAACAAAATCCCTGTCACTGATTTTGGAATTTTTCCCCCCTCCTTTCCCTGATTTTGGAATTTCTAAGGGATGGAAGAATAAACCTAAAACTTTCCCCACACTGGGAAAAAAATACCCTAAAACAGGGTTTTCTTTACCTTATTTTCAGAGATGCAGGAATTTTTATAGAAACCAGCATTTGTTTCTTGTCCCTGATTTTGTAAGAAAAACCGTGGCACAGTCTGTTGTCAATAACTGAAAGTTCTGGCCTTTGTAAGTCAGCCACGAAGCCTCTCGAGTCATCCTCCCTGCCTCTGCGTGGCAGCGGGCTCGCAGTGGGCTGCAGGCGGCTCTGGGCCCTGGAGCCGGAGGGCCCTGCTGCGGAAGGCAGGCCGAGGTCAGCGTGGATCCCCGCCTGGTCCCTACGGTCGACGGCGGGTCGGGCAGGGATCTGGGTCAAGGTCCGGTGGAACAGCAGGTCCTGGGCTGTGGCAGGGCCCTAACCTACTGCCTCCTCCTCTCTCCTCACAGAGTCGGCGTTTTGGAGGACTCCTTCACCTTCCTGGGCATCTTCTTGGCCATCATCTTGTTCCCCTTTGGGTTCATCTGCTGTTTTGCCTTGAGGAAGCGAAGATGCCCCAACTGTGGTGCAAACTTTACTTAAAGGGAACAATACACCTGGCTTTCCTACGTCCAGCTATCTTTTTCTAATGTAAATGTCGTGTACAATAGCTTTATTTGATTAAGCTTCAGGACTGTTTTGTAAAGTGGATAGTCGGCCTGTGTGAGCCGAGGTTTGGGGGCACAGGGGGCACGGAGTGTGGACAGGCAGCACTGCTCCTGGGGTTAGTGACACCACTCAGTAAAGCGCTGCTTTTATTTTTTGCAGTCTGCAATTTGAGAAAGGTGAGAAATACTGTTTTAAATAAATGAGATTCATACCACTGTTTATCTGGTTCTGCTCATTCACTGTCACCTAGGGGAGAGGATGACTTGCCATCGCCCATCTGGATCGTGTGGGATTCCTCGATGGGCATTTCCAGCTCAAGAACATGTGCTTGTTTTCAAGTCCGTTTATTATTAGAATGAAACATAACACCTTGACATTCACAGAGCAGGCGCTTTGGCCTAAGGCAGGCCCTCCCAGCCTGTGTCAGGCAGGTAGGTGACCCCTGTAGTTCCATTCTGTGACCCCCCGACACAGGCGGGGTGAGCCAGTGGGCTTGCAAATTGCATTGACTCCTGAGAACTACTCTTAGATTCCTGCAGCAGAGCCAGAAGACCCGAAGAGCAGGCTCTAGGGGCCCCACCCAGTTGCCCTCATGAACACACTTCTAAACCCTGCCCTGCACTCCTTCCCATTGCGCATCTGGTCACCTGCTCTTAGACGGTGAGGAGACCAGTGCACCACTTAGTCTGTTTTCTATTCTGACTGGATCAATCTCTGGAGTGTCCTGGAGGGGAATAAGTCCTCACCCTGATTTACCTGCATTTGACCTGGACCAAGTTCAAACTCATAGCATAAAGAAGCTAGAACAAAGAACCTGCTCCTGCCCACACAGTGAGGGGCCTGGCTGTGAATTTTATTTACCATCTCCACGCCTCCAGAATAGGATCTAGTCCCTGATCGCCAGAGACAGATCCAGCCAGGCGCTGGTTCCCTCCACAGAAGCCGGACTCCCAAGTGTGTGATGCTCGGTCTCAGCTGGAATGCAGACTGGACCCAGCCCACAGAGTCCCGCTGGCTTCGTAAGTGCTGCTTGCAGCTCAGGATCTGCCTCAGAAGGGCAAATTTGGATCCCGAGAAGTTTCGAGTCAATTCGTGATGGAGGCAGTTTTGGTCAGCTAGCTTACCGAGAACACCTCGGGCTTCCACACGTGAGTGCCTCGGGTCCAAGGGGGCGGCCCTGTGAGCCCGCCCACGTGGGCATGTCCCGGGATCTTCTCAGCCTATTTGGTAACTCATAACTGCCACGTTCAGTAGCTCTCAGGAATTATTCAAGTACTAAATTTCATGGTGGTAACAGGAATAGGCAAAATGTCTTACCACTCTACAGCTATGTCTAGGTTGCAGAAAAGTTGCGATTTTTCCCATCTGGGGTAGCTCTACATCTGATTAAACGGATTTAAAAAATTTTAAGTTAAATTTCATACAATACTCTTATAATTTATATTGCTTAAAATTATGACCTGCATGCTCAGATGCAAATTTACACTATTTTCTTTAGAGAAACATAATGCTACTTATGAGCACATGCTTTGGAAAACTGGCCAGGTGCAGAAAGCCAGCCTGAAAGCATGGGCTAGCCCTTATCCTGGCTATTAAAAAAAATAATCAGAATATTTAAAAAAATGATACAGCGAGGACTGGAGCAAAATTTACTGTTTTTTGAACAGCCTGGGAAGAAAAGATTTTAAATGATTGAGTAGATTCTAAACTATCTTTTTCCAGACAAATGCATATATCCAGCTACATCGAATTGAGAAAATGCATTGATTTGCTCAAATAGAATACATTTAAAATCAGGCACCCGCTGGTGAAGCTTTACAGCAGTTAGAGCACATAACAATATATACCTATCATTTTGCAAGTGAGAACTTAACATTAGAGGAGCCAGAAGAATTCCACCGCCGCCGCCTCATCGAATGATCGGTGCCGATCGATCGTTTGTCACCGTTGGCCGGAGTTTCACAGTAGCGAAGGGGTTTTCTCCACTGTGAGAGGGATAAAATGTGCAGAAATACTACAAAGTAGGAATGAGGTTTTACAACTGCTAATAACTATTGTTCTTGCTCTGTAAAATTTCTGACCACCTTCCACTGCTTGTAAGTTGTGGATGGCATTTTCTGAAAGCGGGTTTTTTGTTCTGGCACTTCTCCCCAAGCCGCCCATGAAAGCAGGATCCAAAGTTTTAAATGTTTTTGACACAGGAAGCCCACCTCTCTTTAACTCTTATTAGGAGGGGGTTTTAGGGGAGAGCCCAGGGTCTGGATTAAGTTGTCAAAGGCAGCAGCTGACCAGGAGACCCACCTTGGGGTCCTGTTGGATTCTGGGCTGGCCCTCTAGGCCTTTCTCCCTGGAGGTGATGGCAACAAGGTGGCCACATTTTCCTGACCCCACAGGCCCAAGATCTTTCTCAGGATGGGTATCCTGGGCTGAGCACGAAGGGACAACATCCTGGGAATGCTACAGGTCACTCAACTGGCAGGGCAGTGCTTTATGGACAAGGGGCCACGTACCTGAGGAAAGGAGGCTTTGCGACCCCATTTGCTTCATTCTGTGAGGAAGATAAAGATGAGGTTTAAGGAAGGGTCCTAAAATTGGGACATTTTAAATAAGCCCTGAAGGAAAGGACATCTAAAACATGGGACTGTTGAAAGCCTGGCATGTGTAGAAGTGCCCTGGAGTCGCAATTCATTGGAGACCCTCTGGGTTACCTACATTCAGCTGGAAGAATAGGGGCAGGAAAGCCTAAAAGACAGCCTTTTGGCCAGAACCATCCTCTGTAATTTGCCAAAATTATGTAATTTGCCTCCACACAGGGAAGCGGTCAGGCACCCGCTGCATGTCTTCCAGGCCTTTTAGAAAACATGGCTTTTTCCTTTGGCCACATGCATGCGGATCTCCAAGAAAGGTGATGCTGGACATCCAGGGCACTGTCACAAAGGAACGCCCTTTATGGTTACCATGGCAAACCTGGAAGAGTGTGGGGTGACCCAGCATGCAGTTGTAAAAGAGTAAAGGGTCAGAGTCTTGCCAGGAGAATCCATGTCTGCTTGAGCATATCAAGCATTCGAAGAGCAGAGACAGCATGTGTGAAATGTGTGAAGGAAAATGAGCAGAAAAGGAAGCCGCAGAGAAAGTGCTTGGGTTCAACTGAAATGCCAGCCTGCTCCCCCTAGAGAAGCACCTGGGCAGGAGCTGGAGCCCATTTCTTAAGAATTTATGACATGACAGCTGTAAAAAAAAAAAAAAAAAAGCCCCAAACCTGCCTGGAGTGTAAAAAAAATACAGTGAGGGACCCTTCCATGTGCTGGACATGCCGCGGCCACCTCAGGGAATGTGGCGCTGGCTGGTGCGCGCCGTGAACAGGGCTGTCTCCAAAGCAGATGGCGCTGAACACCAGAGCGCCACGGAGTAGATGCCCGCAGCCAGAAGGGCTCAGCCTCAGTGGGGATATAGATGCTGCCGCTCCTCCCCACGCCTTTTTGGTACAAAACTATGGTTTGCATTTTGGAAACCTAGTCCTAAAGGATACCAGGAAAAGACAATAAAAATGAACCCTTGTTGGAGATTGACACGCATAGAGGGGTGACGGCGGCAGCCAGAGAGCCTGCGGGAAGTTCCCCGAAGGAGGAGAGAAGATGGAGCCTTCACAGAGCCTGGCCTCCAGCTCCCAGGGACCAGCATCTCCCCGTGGGGCCAGGGGGCAGTGCCCTCTTATTTCCAAAAAGCTTTGCAGGCTTTAAGAATCTGTTTTAATTAGTATGGCTTTACAATGTGAAGTCTGGAAGTGTGATAACTTGATTTTTCCCTCTCCTTAGTGACCGCACCTGAGAGGAGAAAGCTACTGTGAAAAAAATAAAGATTTAAAAAAAAAAAAAAAAAAAAAGGATCTGCTTTGTATCTGCTCTGGCTGTTGAGAAATCACTGGCCCCAGCTTGCAGGCTTACTCAGAGCCGCCCAGGAGAGGGCAGTGTGACACTGTCTGACCAACAGGCCACCGGCCCAGGCCCTGGCGTCCTGAATGCTGTCCAGGCTGCCCTGGGCTCGGGGCTCCCTCTAGCTCTGCCCCAGCAGAGCTGCTCGCACTCCGTGCCCGCCTGTGGCTGAAGCCCAGACCAGGGCTCCTTTGGGCTCTCGGATCTACCTAAGGCAGAAAGGGGCCGGGGGAGCCAGGCCAACTTCAGCCGGGCCCCTTCTGTCCCAGGAGCCCCAGGCCAGCAGGCCAGTCTCAGTGAGCCACTGCTCCAGGGGCAGTCTCACCAGCCTGTGTCCAGGGGCGTTCAACCCCCAAATCAAGTGTCTACTTTTCATCCCTGAGGCACCTGCCCAGCTTAGCGTCCCAGGTGGACTTTCAATGGTCACAGCCTGATTTCTTCCTGCAGGGCACAGTGGGCTAAACCCGCAGGTCTCAGCCCAAGTCATTTCTGCTGTAACATCCATATAAATGACGATTAAGGGCTAATATGATATAAAACACATCCGGGATGGCTGTCACTGCAAGTGCTCAGAGCGAGGCCTGGAGCAGAAAGCCCAGAGCAAGAGCCCTCCCTGCACCCCAACCCACCCCACCCTCGAGGCTGGGGGTGCCACAGTGTGCCCTGACGCTGCCTCCTGCTGCAGTCAGGAGGAAGGGCAACTGTTCCTGGAAAAGGCACCTCGTGCCATACCAGGCTCCCCGGGTTCAGTCCCCAGCCTACTGGTCCACATTTTCCCCCTGGACGCACTGGCCCCTGCCGCTCCTTGGGGACAAAGCTCCTGTCTCCTCTTGTCCATCTGGAAACCAGAACCACAGCCCACTGCCTCTGTGGGCTGCCCCCGGAGCACAGGGCCTCTGCATGTGCTCAGAACATGTCTGTGAGCTGCACTGCTCAAGGCCCCACAGTCAGTCAATGAAAAAACAAAACCTTCCACTCGCCCTGGGCCTTGCTCTGGTCAGTAGTACTGCCCTGTCTTAAGCTTCTCAGGCTCCACACCTGGGCACCCAGGCACTTTGGGCTGCTGCCTCTGGTCTGGCAAGCAGCATGGTCTCTAGGCATGAGCACAACACAGCTGCACATCCCGTGTGCCCTCTTGGCAGCCATGTACACGGTGCTGACCCAAGTGTACGCGAGGAGGGGGCGCGGGTGGGGAGTGTCATCAAGCACAAAGCCAGATGCCGGCCAGCCGGGCATGTCACTAGGGTGCACCGGGCTGCCCACCACACAATAAGGGCAGTGAAGGGACTGGACAGCAAGACCAGCAGGAATGCAAGCAGAGTGGGGCACAGCTCATGAATTTTCCCTCAGATTATCCAAAAATCCAGGTCGGCTTCAAGTGGGCGTTTGCCGCCTGCCATGCCGCGTCCATCCCCACTCCTGTCCCTGGCTACGCTGTGGTGTCCACCACATGCCCGTGTGCTTGAAGGGGACTACTTGTTCCCAGCTTAAGGGCGGCTCTGGTTAGCTGAGATTGCCCAGCACAACCCCTTTCCCTGCTGCAGGTGGACACTGAGATGAGCAAGGGACCTCGTCAGGTCCCTCGTCAGGGTGAGGCGGGGTCCTGCTGAGTACGAAGTGGGGACCTTCCGCTATCTGCCTGCGACCCCATGAAGTGCAGCCCACACTGCAGAGAGCAGGCACAGGATGAGATGGGAGGTGGGCCCGAGGGTGTCTTGGGCACCTGCTCTTTCTCACCTGCTGCTTCCCTCTGAGCCTGGAGGGGAAGCCATTTCTGTTACCAAGCCGTCCTGATGCTTGTCTTAAATGTCTTAGCTCTGGACTTATCTCCCAAGCCACAACCTCTAGCCTAGTTCAGCCCCTTTATTCTTAAAATGGGGACACTGAAGCCCAGAAAGTGGAAAGCCAACTGCTCAGGGTCACAGGGCTCTTTTCCGAAACCAAGAAGCCAGGTTTGTGGAGAGGGGAGCAGATGCATGAGGGGAGCCCTTGTAGCTGTGACAGGCCAGCAAACGCCCTTTGACATGAAAGTTAGAGATTTAGTTTTTCAGTAGTTTCAAGAAACTCAGCTACTATCTGATTGTTTTAAAGCCCAGTTGCGATTACTGCAGAGAACAAAGTGACCACCTGGGCAGGCCCTCCAGCCCAGTCCCAGCGGCCGCTCCCCTGAGGGAAAAGAGTCTCATGGAAGATGCTTTGAGATGCCACAGCTCAGAGCAGCAAAGGAAACTTAACAGTTAGTGGGTTCAGGAACATTCTGCCGAGGAGGGAATTTCCTAGGATTGGGTGCTTAGCACATCTGAGCTGTGTGACTCTGTGACTGGTGGCCATGGGCGGTCACTCCCCATCACAGAGATGGCTGTGAGTCAAAGCATGCATGAGGACGCTTTGCCAGGTCCCACAGATCCCAGCGTTTGGCTGAGATCGAACCTACTCTCCTCCAACATCGTCAGTGGGATTTTAGTTTAAGAAACAAACTGTCTGGTCAGGCCTAAGAACTTTTTTTAAATAAACCTTTTTTTTTTTTTTTTTTTTTTTTTTTTTTATAGAGGCATGTTTTTTATTTATTTATTTTGTTTGTTTGTTTTGTTTATACATGCACTGGGTACAGTCAGAAGCGCGGGAGGGCGAGAGAATTCACCAGAGCCAGAGCGGGGAGCACAGCAGGCAGAAGGACCGAAGTACACTGCTGAGGGGAGCAGCGGGCGACAGGAGAGGTCTGTGCGCCATGTGGGATCCTCCGCCGGTGGCCGGGAAGCAGCCGGGGATCGAACCGGCGCCCCAGAGGCCGCGGGCAGCTTCGCAACCCAGCGCTCAACCGCTGCGCCACCGGGGAGGCCCAGGCCTAAGAACTTTTGAGACACAACATTCCAGGACCGTCCTCAACCCTCAAGGGCACTGGGCACTGGGCACATTCTGGATCAAGATTTGAAATGGAATCTTGTTCTGTGTTCTATGATCGATACCTCACTGTCCATTATGACAGCCACTAGATACACATGACTATTTTTAAATTAAAATTAATTAAAACTGAAGAAGAACAAAATATAAAACCCCAGGTCCTCAGTGCTCGGCTGGTCGTGGCAGCGTAGATCTGGGCCATTTCGGTCAGAAACGTATATTCTCTAGTTTCTAGTTTCTTTTGCTAAAGCACTTCTCACCTCCCCCTGCAACCCCCCCCCCCCAAGACACACGGTTAGATCCTGTGCCTCTCCTGCTGCTGCTGTGGGAGGTAACCAGGCAGTCCCCCTTCCAGGGCCGTGTCTCTGGGTAGTGCTGGATCTCCTGGCTTGCCTGCTGCAGGCCTGCCCGCTTCACAGCTGTGACCTCAGGACTCCTGAGTGGACTTGGCGTGAAGAAACGTGGCAGCCTGTCTGACAGGATACGGCCAGCAGGGGAGGCATGGGGGAGAGGCGGGGGAGTACGCTGGTGACTGAGTTGCAGTTCGCACAGGATCTTGAAATACTACTTCAGTGTTAGTGATGGAAATGGAATCTAAACCAGTCATTTAATCTCCCTGCACATCTGGGAAGCACCTTGCGCCTGGGCTCATGACCCTTCTTCATTCCAAGGTGACGTGCCCTTTATTGTTCTATAGATAAGGAAAAGGCTGATG